CTGTGAGATGTTGAGCCCGTTGAGCGGCAGACATGCTCCTCGACGCGCTCCACGCGCCGGTGCGCTTGTTGCGCTTCTCGGCCTCCTGCGCCAGGAAGAGGTCCAGCACGGGCACCCCCCGCGACCTCACGTCACTCTCGGTCAGCGTGTCACCATCAGCATCACCCAGACCGGCCGCTTCTGCTGCCAATTGCCGGTGATGGCGTTGAAGAGGTAGTCAGCGTAGAGGCCGCGACCGCGCTGGTCGGCCGTCATCCACAGCGGCATCATGTGGCGCACGTAGTCCAGGTGCTTCTGCAGCCGGCGGTACAGGTCGGCCGGCAGCAGCTGCCGGCCGGGAGCCGCGCGGCAACCGCTGGCACTTGGTGAGCGCCGAGACCGTGCGGGGTCGGTCAGGTCCAGCTCGAAGTACACAGAGTCGGCAGGTGGAAGGCGCGCTTCACGTTGTCCGGCACGTACTCCCACACTGGTTGAACGGCACGTGGATCGTGCGAAGAAGTAGGACGGCGGCCTTGGTTCGACGCGCCATAGGAAGGACGACTGTCGGACCTGAAATGGAGAGGTGGGGAGCTTAGCGTCAGCCGTCAGCTGCAGCAGTGATTGATAGTCATGCGCGGAAGGGCGTGACTGTCGCAGCTCGGGCAGGATGGGCGTGGTACGATGGCGTTCAAGTTCGGTGGAGTGCGTAAATCAGGTTGTTTCAGCCATGTTAGCTGTACAAATTCCAACGTACTCCATAGGGGATATAGGCGTTGTAGGCAAAGCATCAGGTTTGAATTAAGCGAGTTCGGAGCGAACAAGTCTTGCTCAATTATGGCCATGCCTCGGTAAGCGCGATCTTTCTTAACGTAGCACGCATAGGAGAAAAGGATGTACTCTTCTCGACATTCTAAGATAAGAAAGAAGCAAAAAATCCTTTCTCAGCAGTATCAGTATCTAACAGCGTTTTATCTTACGCAATGGGAGAATGATAAGACCCAAGGTGACAAATGAGCAATCAGCACCGGGGCACAGGACACCGGGCCTTCATTAGGACAGCCATTCACGGTCTTTTCTCTCAGACATATTTCCTAGCCAAACCCAGCTAGCGTAGAGGGAAACGGTGTCCTGCCTAGAAACGCTTGGGAGGAGGGGTGGAAAGAACGAGCTCAGCTTGGTTCAAACCCTGGACACCAGCGCTGTCTCTAACGCACGAGCAAAATAATGAACCGTACGTGAACAATGCACGCATGTGCACACGCGCTTATCGCATTCCTGCGGAAAGATTGCCCACACAAATCTCCACATATTGGTGTACGCGTCACATAACACAAAAATGTGTGCTATTTACTCACAAACATTCAAGGCCGCGACGATGATAGGCATTCCAACAAACGCGTATCAGCATGCACACCGACATCGCATCGATCTCACAAGCAGTTGACGACGACAAGATTAGTCCGTCCCGACCACCGTGTCATGACTCGGCTCCCGCCGCTATCTGGGGAACCTCGAGGTGAATTCCAGACACCTGAGGACCCTGACCCTCGGCACCTGCAGCCCTGCCGCAGCCTGCAGTCACGCTTCATCAGGCATGCAAGGCAGTCGGCAAATTCGCACCCAGCCAATCTGTCAAACCGCTGATATATAAGGGCGCCGGAGGCGGCGGCTGGTCTGTTCGTTAATCGTCCATAATCGCCTAGTCTGCTCGTAATCACCGGTTCACCACGGCGTGCTCCGGGAGGGGCGTTTACGGCCCGCGACGATCATCTGCGGGCTCGTCGCCGTGCACGGCGTGCACACTGTGCACAGCGTACACTGTGCACGGCGGGGCGGGCGGCGACGGACAGGCCCGGCCGGAGGACCGCGGCGGTGCGCAGGTCGGGTGAGCGCACGCAACCCGGCCAGCAGCCCGCACCGTGCCGCGGATGGCAGCCGAGGCTGGTGAGCTAGCCATGAGGTTCGGTGGCGGACCAGGAGCGCTCGCAGAATCAGGGATGGGGACTCGTCCGCGCGAAGCACTGTTGGAAACCCGGAACGTTGTATGGTCTTATAAGGGGAGACGTTGGGGGGCTTGTATTTTACCATCAAATTTACCCCTCCCCTCCATTTGAGGTGCTGGACAAATGTTGTCATGTCGTCTGGCTTTCCCGTGGGGATACTTCTCAGACCTGCAGAGTATATAATGCTTGGGAGGCATTCCTCGTGATTCGTGATCCAATGTGCAAAGCTGCGGTGGACTCCGGGAGGTCCACGACAGTGGCTCAGGGCTCGGCGCAGCGGCCGACCCCGGGGCATCACCCCAGGCGACCCCAGGCACTCAGCCCCTGAGAGCTGGAGATCAGCATCCTCAACGTCAGCTGCTCCCGAGCACTCCCCTGAGAGCTGGAGATCAGCACCCTTCCCATCAGCTGCTCCCGGGCACTCCCCTGAGAGCTGGAGATCAGCACCCTCCTCATCAGCTGCTCCCGGGCACTCCCCTGAGAGCTGGAGATCAGCACCCTCACTGTCAGCTGCTCCCGGGCAATCCCCAGAGAGAGCTGGAGATCAGCACCCTCCCCATCAGCTGCTTCCGGGCACTCCCCAGAGAGAGCTGGAGATCAGCACCCTCACCGTCGGCCGCTCCCGGTCACTCCCTGATAGAGCTGGAGATCAGCACCCTTACCGTCAGCCAGTGTCCTTGCATTGCCGACTTTGAGTAAAACGCAGTTCCCTATGATGAATATTTTTCACTCCTTTTCCCCATATTTTATGTGAATTTTCACTCGTACCTGATGTTGCCTAACCACGCATACCAAACCCATATCTCCCTTTCGGAGGTTTTGAGATGACGTCCAAAGCCGAGCTCACTTGAAACCATCAAGCATAAACAAGGTTTCACAGAACCTGGGCACCTATGGCTATATCCTGCCTCACCTACATCTGAACCACGCCTTTGTATGCACAGAGCAAGGGCACCATGTACCTTCAAGTACGAGAGCCCAGCGACTGCAGCCGCTTGCGTGCATCAAGTTTGGTTTGTTTACAAAATGCATCACAATCTACTGCGGTGTACCAAATGCAAGCTTGTCACGCATCTCCAGTTTTTGGGTTACACCGCGCAGACACCACGCCAGCAAAGCAAAGCCTGATACAAACACCAGCAAAGCCTGGCAGAGAATTTTACTCCACGTTCTCCTTTTACCCGAAGAATTGTCCACTAAACCGCACAACTCCCAAAATGTAGGAATGAGAAATGCAAGAACTGCTTTGTAAATTAATTCTTAAAGCTGAATATCACTATTTGAGCACCCCTTTTCACTGATTTTTAGTCATGTTAGTTAATGAAAAAATTTGACTAGACAACATTGGGTCTCTACATTTGTTTAATTCCTTTTGGTTTTGTATCGGTCTTATGAGATTCTGACACAACTTTATTTTTCCTTCCTTTCCGATCATCTGTGAAGACACAATTATGGCTAAAAATAATGGCCATTTCTCTGCAAAATGTTCCAACTGTAAACTTGCATATATCCCTTGCTTGAATTGGATTAATTCGCCAGCCGCCCACACTTGTTTGATATTCTCCCAAGGGGGAAAAATTTATAGAATACAAAGGAGACAATTTGAAGCACGGAAGTCATTTTTACCGCCATTTTTGCCTTGTTAAACCCCTAATTAGCCGTTTTCGGTTCATGGCGTGGCTCAATAATGATAAATCTAAGTCATTCCAGTTTCACCACCTCGCCACGTTACATTACCCCGCGTACATAACTTTGGGACAGAGCTGCGCATCTGATACAGAGTTGTTTGGAAGCGACATTTGCCCTTCGAAGCCTTTTTTCTCATGTAGGGCTCCTCTTACTTATTTTTGTATTTTAATCTTGTAGGTTGGTGGACATGATTGACATTTGTATTTAGTACGTGGGTTGAATGACCTTGTCTGTCAGCAAACCATGCGAAAGATACTAACTTTTTGTGTGCAGGAGCAGAAATGAGCCTGCCCTTAAAAAGCCAGTAAGTTCCGTTTGTTGAGTACCTGATTCCTAGCCATACCTCTTTCGACGCATGATTCGTCATCAGATTCGACCATTTTATGTCTTAACCCGTCGAGTTTCGTTCATAGACAAATTTTGATGTCACAGGACATGTAATCAAATGAATTTGTTTTGCTCTTTTAATAATTCACCTTTAATTTGCTGAAGTGGTCCCTCATGTCTGCTTTCAAAAGATGCCCATAGTTATCTCGGTATGTTGACTTGCAAACGACTGCGCTGTAGATATGCGCTATATTTCTAAACACAGAAATACTCTAAGTTGCATAGCGATTACAATATGAGATAAATATCAGTTTTCAGGAAACGGTCGAATTATCCCATTTTAAAGGCAAGGCCAACACTTCAAACTTTAAGTCGTCAAAGGTGAATAACGAAACCTAAAAGGATGCCTTTGCTGCAGCTGAAAAGGCAAGCAGCAAAACTGGTTTTGTGACTATCCACAATTGTTGTTACATTCAGAGGAGAGAGATGATTTTGTGGAGCATACCCACTATTGCCCTTGACAGAGGCTAACCATGACAATTATAATAAGTTGTTGACCGAATAAGTGACTTGAGGAATTTTGACTTCCGTGTTGTCATCTTCGTCTGGTATCAATACGCTGACACAATGAACTGTAGCAAAGCACAAGTTGAAAGCAGACATCAATAAGTTTTATGATGTTTTAATCACAACCACTGCTGTCAAGAAACCGGTAAGGTGAGGTGAGATGATATTCAACATATGGGCTACTTAAAGTCGGGTGATGTTGGTTAATTCCAAGACAGGTGGCAGTAGGACCTTTGCAAGAATCAGTGACTCACAAATGATGTTGTGATACAAGTAGGCTGGACAGGATGAGATGAGGTAAGGGTTTTTACGTTGGGCTCAGTCAGGTTGCTTTCATGGAGATAAGCACTGGTATTTTGCAAGAAACCTTGACATTATATTTGTATTTCCTGACCCCATCGTAACAGAAGCCGAGATATGTCTGTTTGTTTGGCTTGCCGATGCGTTTATGTGCAGGATTTCAAGTATTTTTTGTTTGAATGTTTTATCCTTATTTTTTATTCCTGATTTCCATTGTTTGGTTTGGTGTCCTGCAGACGGAAAGTGCAAAATGCAGCATCAAAACATTAGTATTACATAGTTTTTGGTGCTCATCACGCTTTTATAAATTGCTATAATCTATTGTACTTTGTTTTAGTGTAAGGGCCTAAGATGTGAAAAACCAACACATTTTTGCTATGTTTATGATGTTACGCCCACGTCAACTTGGAATGCATGTCTTTGTTTGCTGAAGCATCTCCCGCTGAGTCATAGTTCCCAACTTTTATTAATTGAATTTTTCATTCCTGTACGGTCTTTCTGCGATGGACTTTTTCACCCCACCCCATTTCAAAAGCGATTCTAGCTCACTGCCGTCAGCTGGTCCCGGGCACTCCCCTAAGAGAGCTGGGGGTCAGCACCCTCACCATCAGTTGGTCCCGGACACTCCCCTAGGGGTGCTGGAGATCAGCACCCTCATCATCAGCTGGTCCCGCCACTGAGAGAAGCTAGTGATCAGCGCTATTGGCATGAACAGATGGCGCATTCTAGCGTCCAAAACCACTTTTCAGAGAATTGACATATTTCTGAACCGGCTCATTAAGTGCTGGAAAGAGGCGACGGCTCCAAATTCCTGATTGCCGCTCGGTTCACTCAAGCCATCCCCATAACTGGCGGACACCAGACTCCAGCACTCAAATTATCTGACATCTACAGCGCGCTCCGGTTACAGCAAGTCATCCAGGCTGAGAGGACCCACGACCTGGCTGTCTTCTGTTACACCGCCGCCGTGATAGGGGAGATATTGTAACCTCCGAGTCGGCCACACCGTCCCGCTTGCAGCGGACACATTGCAGCCTCCGATTCCGGATGTTCAGAACTGCGTTCAGCTCCGTGTGGAGTCAGGATGGATTCCAGAATCAGCAACCTTTTGATGAGCCAAAGTTGATTCCAATGCTGTTTGATGGTGAGGCTGAGTCCGGCATGAATCAAACACGCCATCGGAAACTTGGATCAGAAATGCTGGATATGCTCCTAGCCTACCAGCTCATATATGCGGTGAGCTCCAGCTGGAACTTCGGAAGAAATACCTGCACTGCTGCTAACAAAATAAATGCTCTTCTAGGCTTATATGACGCTCTCAGTAAGGTTTACCTTCTAATCTGTTGAAATGCAATGGAATCGACTCTACCGGAAAGCACTGCGTGGTTGAGCTATATTTCACCGAAGCAGAAACCAAGCAGACTCTATGTTGCACTACTTTGCATGGAGTCGGAGCGGGAGTTAAACTCATGAAAAGCGACTTAGAGCTGGAAGCTATTCTCTTGCAGCGGAAACCATCCCCCATGAAACAGAAGCCATTACCTGGCGGAGTCCAGCACATGTCTGCTGAATGTGGCTTGGCTACCTCTCTCAGGCCGTCCCCGCAGCAGGGACGGCACCTCGGCTCCAGAGCTTTGACCACGCCCTGGCGGTATCCTCAGACGCAGAGCCAAACGGGGGGACATACGGAAATCCTGTCCTGGAGCCTGAAGTCTTCTGGAGCACTGCTTAATGCTCGGCAATTTCCAGCCAGACTGTCCCAATGACAGAAGAGAGACGCGCCGACCCGGGCCTGACACGGCCGACCCCGTCTTGAACGCGCCGCTCCGTCCGGACGCTCCGGCTCCGTCCTGAGGCGCCGGCTCCATCCTGAAGCAGCCGGCTTCGTCCCGAAGCACCGCTCTGTCCTGACGCACCGGCTCCGTCCTGAGGCGCCCGGCTTCATGTCTGATCGCAAACCGGCTTCCGTCCTGACTGCCACCGGCCTCTGTCCTGGACGCGCCGGCTCCATCCTGGAGCTCCGGCTCCGTCCTGAGGCGCAGGCTCCAGTCCCGGAACGCACCCGGCTTCATGTTCTGACCGCACCGGCTCCGTCCTGACGCAGCCAGGCTCTGGTCCTGGACGCAGCAGAGCTCCAGTCCTGACCGTGCCGGCTCCGTCCTGAGGCGCAGGCTCCATCCCGACGCACCGGCTCCATCCTGACGCACCGGCTCCGTCCTGACGCGCCGGCTCCATCCTGACGCGCCGGCTCCGTCCTGACGCGCCGGCTCGGTCCGTCGTGAGACCTGGTGATGAGCTGGCGGTCTGCCAATCGGACGGCGGCTTCAGAGTCCCGACAATGCACTGCCGCGCTGAGGAGTCCTGGCGATGAGGTGGCGATCTGCAATCAGGCGACGGCTTCAGAGTCCCGATGATGCACTGGCGCGCTGAGGAGTCCTGGTGATGAGCTGGCGGTCTGCCAATCAGGCCGTGCGGCCGGCGGGGCGGGCCGGCGCGGCTCCAGACGACCGATAGGCATCGCGCGTGTCTGCGGCGAGCTCGTCATTAGAGGCCGGCACCGCCGCCGCGCCGCGCCGCCGCCTCCAGACGTCAGGCCGGTAACGAGCCGCGACCGGCGGGGCTGACCTGGACCGGCGGGACAAGCCGCACCGGCGGGACCCAGGCTGCCGGTCAGGTCCGGACGAGTCAGGTCAGCGGGGCTGACCCAGACAGGCGGGACGAGCGAGACCGGCGCGACCCAGGCAATCCTGTCAGGTCCGGACGAGCCAGGTCAGCGGGGCTGACCCAGACCGGCGGGACCCAGGCAAGTCAGCCAGACCTGGACGAGCCGGGTCAGCGGGGCTGACGCAGTCCGGCGGGGCTGGCCCAGACCGGTGGGACCCAGGCTGCCGGTTAGGCCCAAACGAGTCAGGTCAGCGGGGCTGACGCAGACCGGCGGAGCGCGACAGACCAGCGGGATCCGGGCTGCCGGTAAGGCTCAGACGAGCCGGGCGAGCCGAACGAGTCGGCTGGCGACAGACTGGTATGTCGAATGTGCCGAGACAAAGATGGGTGTGCCGAACACGCCGGAACGGGCCCGGGCTAATTAAACGACCAGGGACGAGCCCGGGCTAACTAAACGACCAGGGACGAGCCCGGGCTGACTTAACGACCAGGGACCGGCCCGGGCTAACTAAACGACCAGGAACGAGCCCGGGCTAACTTAACGACCAGGGACGAGCCCGGGCTAACTAAACGACCAGGGACGATCCCGGGCTAACTAAACGACCAGGGACGAGCCCGGGCTAACTAAACGACCAGGGGACGAGCCTGGGCTAACTAAACGACCAGAGATAACCCCGGGCCAACTAAACGACTAGGGACGGGTCCGGGCTAACTAAACGACCAGAGATGACCCCGGGCTAACTAAATGTCAGGGACGAGCCCGAGCCAACTGAACGGCCATGGACAGGCCCGAACTATCTAAACGACCAGGGACAGGCCCAAGCTAAGTTAACGACCAGGGACGGACTCGCGCAAGGTTAGGAGAGGTCGCACGCTTCGGCACGGGCTCAGACGAACTGGGAGGGCCGCTGGTGGTCACACGTTGGCGGAAGCGGTGCGTGTTCAACACCACTCGATCAGCTGCGGCCAAAGGGCGAGCACCACACGGGTGGCCGCGGTACTGGAACCCGAGGTGGGATGCGCCGGACCACACAGCGCCGACGTCCTCCGCACGATGGGAGGGGGACCACCGGCCGAGGTGGGTGCGGCGGCACCGCGGCCCGGCGATCGGACCGCATACCAATACCGGCGCCAGATCAGAGCACGTGTGCACGTCGTGCCGGTGGCGCCGCTGCACGCTCTTCAGAGCTACGTGCATTGCGCCATACAATGCTTCGGTTGCGTTTAGTCGTCACGCAGAATCTACAGACAACGATAGGAAATTCATCAATCAAAGGATCGGCGGGGACTGTCGAGTCCTGTTGAGTTGTCCGGCGGTTGAGGTCAGTTCTGTTCTGTTGAGTTGTTTCCAGAAACGCTTTCTGTTACGAATACAACAGTTGAAGACTATAACTTAGGCCACATTCACGTCATTTAAGTAGCAATTCACCCACGCGGCGAACGCACACAACCACACTCATATCTCGTATCTCCCTATAAGCTATCCAGCCCTGGAAGTATGACAGTCCAGCAAGGGTCACCGGCCAGGCACAGCCTGAGCATTGTCCCCAGAGGTGTGCACCAGGCAGAAAAAGTCGGCCGGCTGCCCACCGCCGTCAGCCGCGCAGCCATTTACAGCGCTTCATATAAAGCGACGGCCGTTTTTCCGGTCATCCGTCTTACCCACCTGTGGGTCGCAGTAGTCGGGTCGGCGCGACCTCCGCGCCTCGGTGCCGTCCACAAAAACGCCCACCGCCATCAGCTGAAACAAACAGCGACGGCGGGTCAGATGCGGCCACGGAGGTCACAGACGGCGCGCGGGCCAGATGCGGTCATGAAAGGTCACAGGCGGCGCGCGGGCCAGAGGCGGTCACGGAGGTCACAGGCGGCGCGCGGGCCGGAGGCGGTCACGGAGGATCACAGGCGGCGCGCGGGGCACAGGCGGTCACAGGCTCGCAGCTCAGAGGCGAAATAGCCGGCGGGCAGGCGAGGACAAAGACCCAGCGAGTCCACTGGGAAACACCGGCCGTCAACCAGCTGGTGGTCGTGCGGGCCGGCTGCCCGGCCGGCGTGGACCGTCACGCTGGAAAAGTCACACAACCGGCGGCCGACTGGCCCTGTGACTGACAGGTCAGCTGACCCTCATCTCGCTCACTTCCACGCAGTCGGCGCTATCCGTGCAGAGGAACACTCAGCCACCCAGACTGTCCCTCGGCACCACGTCCTCATTTCCCGGGACAGAGACGGGATGTGCGGCGCGGCCGCCCTGGCCAGGGTCTACGGCCGCCCTGGCCAGGGTCTACGGCCGCCCTGGCTAGGGTACGCGGCCGCCCTGACCAGGGTACACGGCCGCCCTGACCAGGGTACACGGCCGCCCTGACCAGGGTACACGGCCGCCCTGACCAGGGTACACGGCCGCCCTGACCAGGGTACACGGCTGCCCTGACCAGGGGACGCGGCCGCCCTGACCAGAGTACGCGGCCGCCCTGACCAGGGTACACGGCTGCCCTGACCAGGGTACACGGCCGCCCTGACCAGGATACACGGCCGCCCTGACCAGGATACACGGCCGCCCTGACCAGGGTACACGGCTGCCCTGACCAGGGGACGCGGCCGCCCTGACCCGGCCCGACGGTGCGCGCCGCGTCAGCTCAGCGGCGCCGCTGCTCAGCGACAGGGCAGCTCCGCGGCCCGCCGCCGCCAGGGCCATGATGAACGCCCTGCTGGCCGGCGACACAGCTGGAGCCTTCGACAGCCGGAGATCGATGAACGCGCCGATTAAAAATGAAGCGCCGGACCTTGGCACAGCTAAGCGGCGCTGATTGACGAACGGCGCCGGCCGGCCGGCCGCCGTGGTACACACAGCGGCACACCTCCGGCCACCGCGGTACACACAGCGGCACGCCTTCGACCGCCGTGGTACACACAGCGGCTTACCTCCAGCCACTGCGGCACTAACAGCGGCACACACAGCGGCGCACCTCCAGTCACCGCCGTACACAGAGCGACACACCTCCAGCCACTGCGGCACTCACAGCGGTACACACAGCGGCGCACCTCCAGTCACCGCCGTACACACAGCGGCACACCTCCAGCCACTGCAGTGCTCACAGCGGCACACATCCGGCCGCCGTGGTACACACAGCGGCACACCTCCAGCCACCGTGGTATACACAGCGACGCACCTCCGGCTATCGTGGCCGGTGCGGTTCAGAAGCGCGCAATCTCATTATGCGCGTGGTTCCGTCCGCGGTGCTGGCGACAGAAGAGCGTGACTGCGGCATTTACGAGCGCCGTGCCCCCAGCTGGTGGGCCTGGTGGCGGGCCGAACCGCCTTTTACCTTCTTTTTTGCCGGTCGGAGGGGTCGAACATGACTGCCGCCTCAGGTGGGGGAAGGCGAAAGGCTCAGACAGTCAGCTGACCATCCATCACCGGGGTGTAAGCCGTGACTTCGCCCGGTAAAAATGGCCGCGCTCGTCATGAGGTCTTAATCCCAGCTGCGCGATCCCTCGATAACGGTTCTGTCCCATACGAAAAGGGCAAATTGTACGTCTGCCATCCCTTACCCGTTGTCACAATCTAATGGTAATGAGCCGGCGGCGCGGCCGGGCTGGCTGCGCGGCCGGCCGCGGCGGCGCCTCTGATCTGACGGCGAGCGGCTCCCCGCCGCGGTCACGTGACCGCCAGGTAGGGTCGGACCGCGCGGCGGGGCGCCGACAGCGGTGCTGGCGCCGCCTCCAGCTGACCCTGCCCGCTGTCGGTCCAGTTCACGGAATCGGGGGGCCAAACGCCGCCGGGCCGGCCTGCGGCCACCGTGCCACGCACTGCCCGGCTGCCTGGCTGCCCGGCCGGCGGCGCAGCACCGGGCAGCGCCAGCGCACGTCACACCGGCGCTCGGAAGTGCAGGTGTTACTGTTTGCGCCGCCGGGCAGTCGGCGCCAAACACTGGAACAAATTGGCGATGGCACGGCACGCCAAACAGGGGTGCCGAATTTAAACGGCGGGCTCCTCCTCTTCCCACGTCGAGCGCCGGCCAAGCACGGTAAATATTGGAACAGAGGTGCCAGCAGCGCCTCGCGGGCGGGTCCGCTTCAGCCTGCGTGCTTCTTACGACGGTCCAGTGTTGTCAGCGTGGTCACGGTCCCACCACATGCCTGTTCACTACGTTCTGTCAACTCAGGCGTCGCGAGATGTTTAGGCATTTGGGGCGGGGTTCCGGGTGTCTGCACCCAAATTCTTGCACGCGCGCTGACAGCGCGGTGGTTCATTCCAAGGAACCAGGAGATTCTCGCGGCGAAGAAGCCGAACCTGGGCGATAAAGGCCGCACTGGACCGGTAACAGACGATCAGCAGCACCCAAGCCGCGCGACGGTGCCTTGGAATTCACCGCTTACCGCAGAGTAGGGCAGCAGTAGGTACCCTATCGATTACTTGTGGCTAACGAGACCACCCACGACACAGTAATCATTCGGCGAAGCGCCTCATTGTTTTGAATGAAAACGATTTCGTCCACCCTCCCGCTGGCACCCACGCAAAGTCATATTCAGCAAACGTATTCAAGGTTTCGGGAATGATGTGTCGATCGGTTAAAATTGCCGGGTGCTCAGGCAGTTTATGGGTTGGCTGCACATGGCTGTACATCCCTGAGAACAGATTTGTGAGGACCAGATCCTGACGGCTTTAAATTTTCGCATTTGACGTACGATGTATTTTGCATATTTTGGATGCAAAATGGCTCTGGCTCCTAGCCCTGAAAAGAGGCATCCCAATGATCGGTGATACCTTTTGGAAACCGTCAGGTTATTTTGAAAGGTGCTGGCTACAACCGAATGATCGGCAGATGCAGGTACTGACAAATGTATGTGCCATTTGGGGTGAAACGGTTATATCAGGGCAAAATAACTGTCCGGTATCAACAAAATCTTGACCCACTGGTAGTCGACATTGAGACTTCTCGTGTTGGAAATAGCCAGCTTTTAAGGAGGTGCTGGTTAAACGACCGTATCAAGTAGCCCTTAGGATATATAATGATAATATTCGACGCTTCAAGGCAGTCAAAGGTCACGCGTCTCCTGACCGCCGTGACTACGAGCGCGGCGCCGAAAATTGTCGCGACGTATCTAAAAAAAATGTTTGAAAAGTCGTTAACTACTTTCTGGCGTATTCGAGATGGGTTATTTTCGGCACGAGAACTCATAATAAGCGACAGTGTATATTCTCACCATATGTTATCACAAAATAGTCATGATGGCTGGGGACACTGCCGGAAACATGAAATGCGTAGCATACGCACAGCACTCACCACAAAAATAAGACGAAGTCGTGGGAGATGACTAAACCCTCCCCGTCGCATTTTCCCCGCACTCAAAGTCACGTGATGAAAACGTCTTGGCGGCCTAGCCCGGTCCCCATAGCGCACTCCGTAGTCACCGCACCAGAGCGGGTGTCCCACGCGCACCACCGCTGGCCATCACCCCACACGCACTCACCCCGCCAGCGCCCGGCAACCACTGCTGCTGCCATCAGCAGGCCAGGCCGGCGGAGCGGGCGCGGGCGGCCTTCCTGCCCCGGGGCGGCCCACCCTGACGCCGCGCAGCCAATCACCGCGCGCCGGCCGCTCTTGGCGGCCGAGGTCAGACGAGTGACACGAGCATCGACGGAAAGGCGATGTTTTCCGTCGGTGTATTTGGAGCCGTTGACATTTAGCGGATGGATGCAGCCGTCGGCCCAGATAGTTGCCAGTGGGCAGACGATCAGAGGGCCGGGCCGGCCCGCGCTCTTTGAGGGCCAGCCGTCGGCGGGCTGTGTTTGGTTGTTTTGGCTTCGACGCCCGCGCGGCGCCATCAAAGAGGGTATATCGGAGATCTGAGCTCGGGAGCCGCCCCTTGCCGGCGCCGGCCATCGGCGTCACTAGAACGCCGACTGGAGCGATTAATGAGGGCTCCCGCGGTGATCACCGTCGATTAGAACAGAGTGAGGCTGGCGGGCAGATGGTATCGTGTCACAGCCGTTGCACCCATACAATTGATGTTCGTGCTTGGGCGCTATAAGCGTATGCTCCACTGGTGTCTTTTGCATCATGCTTGGGCAGAGGCTCCTGGTCTGATATCCGGCTTGCTGCTTTCATTTCAGGAGATCAAAAGCAGGGCTTGCTTGTCCATAACGACGTGGGTTTCACTCGGAGATGTATCCGGATAGGACCCGTAGCGCTCCTGCGGTTGACGGGGAAGCCGATCCCGGTACCCGGATCAGACCCGGATCAGACCCGGATCCAGGCGTGGTGAAAACATCATCCCGGATCCCCTGCGTTCTACAGGATTGGAACGAAATGGCCATCTTATGCATTCGTTGGTGTAGCAAAGTCGGCACTGTGGGGAAGAGGCAAAGAAAAACAATCACTTGTGAGGAAGGTGTACAGCTTAAGCCATGCCTGCATGCATCGGAGATAACTAGCATGCTACTAAAGCTCGTTGGTAAGGTCTTCCAGTAATCCAAGCTTCACATGTTCAGAGGTAAGCCGATAATTTCGAAGTTAGGAGTAGATTATGAATGTATCCATGGTCATGCCTGGAAAGGGTAGATAAGAGACCGGGGGTTTAAAGCTGAACGAGCACGCAGATGTGACATTATAGCGTACGCAAGCATAAAACTAGCCAGTAATGTTTCTTTAAAAAATCACCCTTCCTTACCTGGTGGACAAGGTGGAGATGGGGCTTTTTGCGGTCGCCACAAAATAATCTGCTGGTTCTTTTCAAGTGTGAGCATGTTTTCTAAAAATCACAGCCAGCTAGATGTCAAGGGTCATGTCGAGTTGATATTAGAACCAACGTCGCAGTGGGAGCCGATCAACGGACTCCTATGAGCGCGCACTATCTTAACGTTATCTTGAGGCCCATGACAGGGCGCACTCGCATCATTTCAGGGTGACATGACAGGGTGCACTCCCACAGGGTGCACTCCCATCATTTCATACGCGCAACCGCAGCAAACAGACGCGACTTGCGCTGGATCTGTTCAGAGATCACCGCTTTTAATTAAAAGGAGCATGCCACCTTGTCTGTACCTGCCATGCGTAGTTGGATCGGACACGTCTACTTTGGTCGGTAAATTCAGTGGTCTCGAAATTCTCCTGAATTATTCAGAACTTCAATTTCGAGTAGCTGCTCCGACGGGAGAAATGCCATTGATCTCCCTGCTAACCACTATGAAAGCAATGCTTCTCGCTCCTTTGACGTTCCCAATACTTGTGTTGTATAATGTTGTAAATGCACCAATTAGCCAAAATGTTTGGGAGACAAATAGGGCGATAGACAGAAACCCTCTCTTAAGGTAAAAAGATATTTCAACAAGAAGCCATTATCACGCGCATTCAATGCAACGTCGCACCATAGCTTTTAAGGCGTTGAGCACGGTGGTTCTCTTCGAAGGGTGTTTTGGCTTTGTGCAACATTGCTTACTTAAATGTTCAGTTCATTACAAAGCTTCTTTTACAAACCAGGTGTATACCAGCAACAAATCATGTGGTCTCGTGATGCGCATATGCAAACATCCACCAATGCACTTGTCGGTCAATGCTTACGCCACATGTCCACTGACGTCAGTCATACCCAACCCAACGACCTAGGCACAAATGTGAAATACGCCTACTTCCGCAGTAATCGTGGTTGAAGGTGCCAAGAAATGTAAATGAACATATTTGGCTTCGATTTGCCACAAGTAGTTCCATCATGAGCAGACCAGCCTCACCTGACTAAAAGGGTAAGCAAGCGTCATGAACCACGTCTCTGAGGTTGAGATGGCAAATCAGAATAGGAGGTGGAATCAAATCTAAGTTGGGGAAAAGTGTATGTGAAACTGACAATTGTGCATGAAAAGATGCGGAAAGCGTGTATCCTGAGGACTGCATGTCGTAGAGGACAAAAATACACCGACTAAATTGGGGCACATGTTTTCCCCGCATCCCCCACCCACCAGTGGCTACGACTCTGGTGATCATGAAAAAAATAGAGTACTGGTGATGTACAAAAGCAAAAAAGAGGATTGACATTTCAGATTGTAAAAGGACTGGCTCCCTACTTACAAGACCATGGTATGGTACTTAATGTTATACCGAGATGCAATTATTGCGTGCTTCTGCGCATTGTGTGCTTCTGCTTTGCTTAAATGTCACTTCACGTGGCTATGTGATAACATATAGATGTCATGCCGTGATATGAAGTACAATATCAGTAAATAAGCAAACGTTATAGGAGGCAGTGCTGTCGGTGAAGTGACGACAGTTACTCTTTATGAGCAAACAAATCTGGACGATCGTCAGAAGTGCACATGTAATTCTGCGACATTGCAGCAAAGGCCCGAGCCAAACTGGCCAGCTGTACATGAAACAATAACCACATAACTCAATTCAGCAAAGAAGCTTCATAATTGCCATGATTGCAAGCAGGGGCGGCATCACAAACTTTTAGTTCGGGGGGGGGGGGGGACCGTGTAGCTAGCATGCTTGTTAAGGGGCCCTCCGGGAAAAAAATGATGTCTTTGTTTTGGATACATGAACCATACCCAAGAAACAAATGCCGAGAACACAATATGAAGCCTCCTTATTATCTAATAAAAGGTCTCGATAACCCAAACAGGGCTACCTGTTCCAGAAATGGGCCTTCTATTGCATGGAGGGACCTCCTAATCCAGAATTCTAATTCCCAAAGGGGCCTCAAGATCTAGCCAAGGAACCTCGCAATTCAAAATCAGGATAGCCTGATTCGAAATTGCAACGATCTGATGCATGAAAAGGGCCTTCGATTCCAGAGCTGGGGTCTCCTGAACATAGAGGGTGCTTCCTAACTTGGAACAGGGCCTCTTAGTTTGCAACAGAGGCCTTCCGAATCAGCAAGAGGCCTTCTTAAAGCGGATGTTTCACATTTGAAAACACGGAAGCAAGCATCAGATGTGACGAAATATGCTCACTTACAACTATTGGCCTACCTTTGAGTGGAAAAGGTTGCTCTGGACAAGGTAGTTTTTCGTTTAATAAATGTACCCCACGTTGTGTCATAATTGGATCACGTCATCGTTCCCTGCACAACATTGATTGAGAACCAATCAACGGCAATCATGTCTGGAAATTGTGCAGATATGAACTACTCGTCAATCACATATGTATTGGCCTTGAACACCTCAGGGAACAGAATGCCGCAATGTAACAGCGGGATTTCAATGATGTTATGATGGTGTCATGGATGCCTGCGTGACCTTGAAATAGTCCTCGAAAACGTCTGCACATATTTGCGAGTGTGTAGCTCAGAAACTAGAAAAGCTTAGGTTTTAGCAACTGCGAGGCTGTGAACTGCACCAAACTATCATCAAGATGACTATTTCAGCCCTAACCTCCATGAAAATGTGGAATACCCATTTTAACATAACATTGGTCCTCCTGATCTGGAGCATGGATCACCTTATTCATAAATGTATCCTCATAATCCAGACAAAAGGCCTCCAGATGTAGAAAACGTTTTTTTGAGCCCGCTTTATTACTCTCTAGCTCAGTTATGTGGGCCTCCTCGACCTGACTCTGGTAATATGTGGGTAGATACGAATCCTTTGGTTTAGGAAAAGGGATTCCACATTTTTATGGGGGCAATATATTCTTGTCCGCCTGCAGAGAGAACAACTGCCGTCCCCCCCCCCCCCCTGCTGCGCCGCCCCTGTTTGCAAGAGCACAGCATAATAAGGTATCCGATTATACACTTATGTTGCACAGCGTTTGCTGTTGTTCATGATTTCTGCTAAAGCTCTGTATCTTTTCATTTGCACAAGCACAGGGTAGAAAAAGGGTGAAAATTGGTAATGAACATTCTATTGGTCCTAGTAAAACATGGAACATACAGATCAATGCATTTCGTCCTCCTCCTTTTGCACGCCAACGATGGCTCATACTCATGGCCAATACTTCTGATTGTTTTTGTTTTTTGTCAGCTGCTTTAACGTGTAGTGCAGATGACATCCTCTAGTAATTATCATGCAACATTTTCGGAAAATCAGTCATTGCGCGCTAAAGAGGACAACTCAAGCTGTACAGTGTCCTTCCTACGCGCGCTGCCTATTCTGTACTACAGTTTATAAGGACCCAAAACAACCTTGAATTTCATGCTGGGGAGCGTCGCCTTGAGTGCGCCAGTATCGTCTATGCACGCGATGACGTCTAGAATACTTAACACGCGTCCGGGTGGTCAGCTGGATACCCTTCGCTCGGGTGGGAGGGGTCAATTTGACCCCGCAGAAATCTCGGGAACTAAGAAAGCTAGAGACACCAAATTTCAAGGGTATCTTGACCTGCACGTGAACTCACTTAGGTTAAAGTTCCCTTGGTCATGAACTTCAGATCAAATAAGGTCAAACAAGGTCAAATTCTATGTTAGCCTCCAAAGTGCCCCCAGAACCTAGATAACTGTTTCTAAGCAAAAGGTCACAGGCCCATTTGAGGCCACTGACCTGAAACAT